TATGGGTCCAGGACCATCTTTAAAAGCAGCAATATTAACAAAAGAAATTTAAATAGCTCACTATATAAGGAGACTCTCATCTCAGTTACTTGGATTGGAGCCCTTTTTTGTGGGCTGTCTGTGCTCTGAGCTTCTCCCATAGGCAAAGTCAGCAAGTTACATGTCCCAAATTAGCGAATTAACAAGGCCCACTTTTCTAAAAAATTCCCCTTGTTTAACCCATTAGCAAGTTAACAAAGCCATTCCCCTTGTTTAACTCTCATTATATTTGAGTCCTAGATACTGGGATTTATTTCCAGGTACCAATCTGGAGGGCAAGGTGCTGCCAGACCAGAAAAAGTTGCTGTCTGTGAAAGGCCAAACCCACCTCACCACACTCAACCTCTCAGAATGTGAATAGTAATAGAAATGTAACTGTGTTAGTCTGGTGTAGCTGAAGCAAAATACAGGACTATGTAGCACTTTAAAGATTAACAAGATGGTTTATTAGACTCTCAGAATGTGAGTCACTCTGTAAAGATTGCTACACTATTTGTGCCTCAGAAAGGAAATTAACCCTTCCTATGCTGCCTCCCCAGAAAATATAAGGCCAGAGCAATAGATTCCAATGGATGATCTGGAGATTTATGTAACCCATACAGGGCAACATGACTTGGACAAAAATAAAAGGGTTCCCATGGTGATAGTGTGATAAAGCAATCCATCTCTACCTGAAACATCTTTCGACCCGAAAGGGAAGGAGTCTACATTTCGGCTGTGTCTAGACTGGCCAGTTTTTCTGGAAAATCAGCCACTTTTCCGGGAAAAACTTGCCAGCTGTCTACACTGGCCGCTTGAATTTCCGCAAAAGCACTGACGATCTCATGTAAGATTGTCAGTGTTCTTGTGGAAATACTATGCTGCTTCCGTTCGGGCAAAAGTCCTTTTGCACAAAACTTTTGCGCAAAAGGGCCAGTATAGACAGCTCAGATTTGTTTTCTGCAAAAAAGCCCCAATTGTGAAAATGGCGATCGGGGCTTTTTTGCGGAAAAGCGTCCGTGCCAATCTAGACACTCTGTTCCGAAAATGCTTTTAACGGAAAACTTTTCCATTAAAAGCATTTCCAGAAAATCATGCCAGTCTAGATGTAGCCTTCCAATATAATATACTGTGGTTTTCATCCTGAAATTTTTGAAATCATACAGCCCCAATTCAATATCCAGTTAATCTGTTCCATAAACATTCAGTTAATATCCAGGCTGCTCAGTCCACGCCGGTTACAAAATACATTCTTTATCTCTGCAAAAGTTTGGTTACATGGTTCGATCTGACCTGCTTTGGTACCTCACTAGTGTGGAAACTCAATCAATCATGGCAGGTGTCCCCTGCAATAACCAGCCGCTTCCAAGAAGGATCATTCCCACTTCTTGGTTTTAGGGAATGGGCTTTGTGCCTCCACCCACTTTCTCTGTGAGTGGAGGCAGGGTAAATTGAACCAGTACATTTCCTATCAGGTATATCATTTGCAGGCATTCCCATTAGGGCTGACTCCCGCCTCCTTCAAGTTCCCTCCTCACTTGATGTGACTGATAAGCAGGACTAAATAAGACACATCATGCAGGTATGCAGCTGCATATTGCTGCTGGTGGCCATGGAGGATACAACCTATTAAATGCTTAAGGGCTGCTAAGTGGAATAATCCAAGTAGAAAAGGCAGTTTTCTCCTAGGAATCAGGAGGGTAATCAGTGGAGTAATTCTGTCATCAAAGTCAAGGGAGGACAAAAGTATCAGAGGTGTAGCCATGTTAGTCTATAACTTTAAAAATGAGTAGTCCTGTGGCATCTTTGAGGCTAGCAAAAAAAAAAAGGGTGTGTGTGTGTGTGTGTGTGTGTGTGTGTGTGTGTGTGTGTGTGTGTGTGTGTGTGTGTGTGTGTGTGTGTGTGTGTGTGTGTGTGTATATATATAAATGATATATATAAATTGTTAGTCTCTAAGGTGCCATAGGACTACTTGCATGAGTTCCCTCCTAACTCCTAAAGCTTTAAACAACACTGCCAAACTTTCCATCTCTACTTCCTGTCCCTTCAGACACTCCCCATTCTCTTTTCCATAACCTATCCACAAATATCCTTCTTCAGTTCACTCCTCTAAGGTCTCTGTACCCTCTTTGCCACATCCAGTATCCTGCTGCCCCTAGGTCTGTCTAAATCTTATCCTGTAATGTTTTCCTCTCGGTCTTCCTCCTAAGATGCCCACTTGTCCTTTCATTCCCCCTCTTTGCCCCAGATGTATCCCATCATCCCTCCTTTCCTTGCCTTGCTTTGCCTCGCCTCACCCATCTCTCCAACACCCCTTATCTTCATCTTTCATCTCTCTGCTCGAATCTTCCTCAAGACCTCAACCCAGTTTTTCCTTCTCAGGCTCCCCTCCTGCAAATCCCTTGCACACCCCTCTATGGTCCTCTTTCTTCATCTCTTGACCTTCTCCTTTGTCATCACCCCTATAGCCCTCTGCCTCCCTACCCACACAGTGCACCACCACCCCTCTGCTCCCTTTACCTATCTCCTCAGGTGGGAAGAGGAGAAACTTTCCATGCTCTGCACTCTGAGTGAGATGGGATTCAGAGGGAAGCCCAGTTAGAAAGAGAACAGAGTGGCTGAAGGCATGAGTCTCAGCAGTGGTGTCTTACCTGCACATCCATGGGGCTGTGTGGTTCTTACTCGCAGCAGGCTGCTTAGCAGCTGCCATCTCTGCTGAGCTCAATTGTTTAGGTAACTTGTGCTGTCTCTGTAGTAGAGGCTAAGATTGGCTTGGGGCAAGGTGCTCTCAGCACAGCATGGCTCCTCCCCTGAATTCCTGCTTGCTCAGTCAGGGTGCCAGACTTAAAGTCTGTGTCACAAATCATCCACTGGGACATTAAACTCAGCAGGGAGCTCCCTACACATGAAGTAGGATGTGTAATGCATTCACTTCCCTACAGGCAGCTCTCATCTTGCTCTGCTTCAGCCCATCCACGCTTTACCTTCTGAAAATATCCTGCCTCTGAGCAGTTCACATCTGTATTTACCTCTCTCTTTCATGTGGCTCAAAACAACTTTATTAATGCACGTTCTACTACCTGGTGCTTGCCTGCATATGAGGTGACTCAGAAGGACTGAGTACACGTAAGAAACAGCACATACCACTGTTGTAATATGGACCTTTTCTAATGAAAGGGGCAGGCAGTTCCTCTTTGCTAGTCACAGAGGCTTGTACCACTGCTCCTCTCTCACTACTTGTCGGCAGCTCAGAAAATTCACTCAACTGCTTTTTAACATGTCAGATATAACCGCACCTCAAAACTCATGGGGCACTCATGACTTACTCTCTTCTGTCCCTCTAAATTTCTCCTCTCTTATTTGCAGGGTCATGGATGACTCCACTGTACCTATGTCTATGCTATTATTCTTACCACTCTTCCCTCCCCCCTCTCTGCCTCACTGTTCCTCCTGCACTCATCTCTAGCCACTGTTCATGATGTCCCTAAGCTTGGCACATCCTGCTTATCGCACCAGGAAGGCTGGTCCAGCGGTTAGGGCCTTAATTTAGCACCTGGGAGTCCTGAGGTCAATTTACTTACTACAGCACAGACTTCCAGTACAACAGTGGGCAAGTGGCTTTGTCTATCCATGGCTGAGTTCCCTATCTATGAAATGGGGGGTAATAGAATTTCTCTACTTGACAGGGGATTAAAGTTTATAAGGCACTCATACACAGCAGTGATGGGTGATCATATAAGTGTGATGGTTTCCCCCACACATACCCATCTCTACAACGCTCATTCCTAACGAACTAACACAAAAGATGCTATAACACCCAGATTCTCAAACTGGGTGTTGTGGCCCCAAAAGAGCTACAAATGAATCTCAAAGGGTCACAACTCTTCTCTCCCCTTCCCCCAACCAGTCTTTATAGCTAGATAGGCAAGAGTAGATCCTGAAACATATTTATTGGGATCATGAGATGGAAAAGGCCGAGAACCACCATTGTAAAGTGGAGTCACATCTTGGTCTCCCAGAATATACCTACACAACAGTGTTATTTCAGAATAACTGACATTATTCTGAAGTAACAAAGAGCACGTCTACACAGCAAGCCATTATTTCAAAATAATGTCGAGCTGGAGGACTTCCTCCTCTGACTGTAGCCCTCATTTCATGAGGAGTAAGGGAAGTCGAAGGAAGAGTGCTCTTCCTTCAACTTCCTGCTGTGCCGACAGCGCCAAAAGTCGAATTAAACTATTTCGACTTCAGCTACGCAATTGATGAAGCTCAAGGTGTGTAGCTTAATTCCACTTTTGCTGGGAGAGGAGAGGGTAAGGGTATTGGGAGCCGTATGTTGTGCAGGCCTGATTTAATTGGAAAAATTCTTAATAAAGTATCCCCCCCAAAACTTACCCTTGCGGCCCGCAGCTGTTTTCTTTGGAGTAATATGGCCCTCACCACTTTCCGAGTTGTGCAGGCCTGGGTTAGACTCTTGCCCAGTGGTCTCCAACCTTTTTATACCCAAGAGCACTTTTTAAATGACAGACCAAGCCAAGATCTACTGTCCCGCCCCTTCCTTGAAGCCCCGCCCTCTCTAATCTCCTCCTCTCCATCACTTGCTCTCCCCAATACTTATACTGCTGCTTTTTTTTTTTTAATTCTTCTGTAGGAAGGTTTTTCCAACATTAGGCCTGTCTAGACTGGACCAAATGTCAGAAAAAAACCCTTCTTTTGGAAGCCACCTTATTCCTTGTGGAAAGAGGAATATAGGGGTGACCAAAAGAGCCTGTTTGCTCTTCCACTAAAAAAGTGGAAGAACAAACGCAACCCTGGATGCAGAAGAGTTTTTCTGGGATATCTCCAGAATCCTGAAAAACTCCTGCAGTCTAGCTGGACCCTTGCTGTGTTGAGACTGGATGTGTAGGGTCTGGGGTGGGAATGAGGGATTTGGGTGTGGGAAGGGGTGAGCGGTGCAAGGTCTGGGAGGAAATCTGGATGCAGGAGGAGGTGGAGAAGGGGACACTGGCTCGGGGAGGGGGCTCCAGGCCGGGCAGTGTTGGGATACTAAGCAAGCCACAGGCTTGTGGATGTGAGGGTGCAGGAATTTGGGTTGGCGTATGTGAGGGGCTCAGGGCAGGGGGTTCCAGTGTTTGATAGGCTCAGATCTAGGGTCTGGGGAAGGCGAAGTGCAGGAGTGGTTGTGGCCAGATGGGGGCTTGGCCCTAATTGGGGGTTTGTTGGCCAGGCTTCATTTTTAAATAAAATACTATGTGGCCAGGCTTCTTTTTTAAATAAAATACTATGTTAAACACAAAACGTTTTTGCATTGTCTTTATTTATGAGAAGGGCAGGGAACCTGCCTTGAGTCAGGGGTCACTGACCCATAGAAAAGTCATTTGGGAGCAGGGGACACAGTACTGGGGAGGGGTGCTAGTAGGTTCTGGGGCAGGGAACAGGGTGCCAGTGGGGACAGGGGAGAGGGGGCGGGGTGCCAGGACAGGTTCCTGCAGCAGGGGACAGGGTGCTGGGGGGGAAAGGTTTCTGCAGAGGGGAGCAGGGAGACAGGTTTCTGTAGTAGGAGACAGGGTGCCAGAGGGAACTGTTTTCTGCAGGGGGGGCTGGTTTCTTCAGCAGGGTGGGAGGGCAAGGGAAAGGGAACAGGTTTGGGGCAGAGGAGAGGGAACAAGGTTGGGGGCAGGGAGTTTCCTACACCAGCCACGGAGGGAAGCCTCCGACCCGCACTCCCTCTGGACTGACCGCAGGGCAGCTGGCTGTGGCGCTCAGCCAGGGTGCACCAAGCTCCACGTGGGCAGGCTCAGAGGAGAAGCCGCCGATCAGCTGGAGCATGGGGCAGCCTCTTTCAGCTGAAAGCCACAGTCAGCTGGCTGGAGTGTTTCAGCCCTCCCGGCCTCCCAGCTCCCACCATTCCTCGCAGCTACTCACCTGTGTTATTGCTCAGTGAGTAGCTGCTCCTCAAATGAGGAAATCTAATGTAAATGTACTGCGCAGGCGTGCAGTTCAGAGAGGGCTCAAGAGCTACTCTTAGAGCCCCTGAGATCTACCGGTAGATCGCGATCTACTGGTTGTTGAGCACGGCTCTTGCCCTTAGCCATTAGTTCAATTGAACTACCTTTCAGAAGGCTTGCTGTGAACGGCAATTTCAATATTGATGACAGACGTCTCAAAAGCAATCTGGTAAAACTTAAAAAACAATAAATAATCTAGTAGCACTTTAAAGACTAACAAAACATGTTACAGCCTGTTCATCTGAATCAGTCCTGATTTCCTCTCCACCCATCCCCCCCACGTCCTCTCCCATGCTGTGAGGCTGGCAATCATTCATGTGCCATTCTAATCTCACCTAGATCTCAAAGCAGACAGTCCCAGGGTGCACATTAGAATTGCAAAACTCTGTTTCCTGTCCCTTCCCTGTTTGAAAACTTCCCCTAGTCATTTCAGCTCCCAGTGAATGCTCTGAACTAGTAACACAAAATAATATTTCTGAAGCTACCACATAACCTCACTCTTTGCAATCATCAAAAGTAACAGCAATCATTATTTCCCAAAAGAGAGCATAATCCTGAGCTCAGTGTTAAAATTGATTCTTTCTTTCATATCTAGTTCTCATGAACGGTCAAAACACTGCAGTGCAGTTTACCCATTCCCAGGAAACAGTACCAGCTGACTGGCCACTTTCTCAGATGCAGTATTCTGAGTACCTTTGGGCCTGGGCCCGTTCCAGTCTTCTTCCCAGCTCTCAGAACACTGATTTCAGGTGAAGCAAAAGACAGGACTATGTAGCACTTCAAAGACTAACAAGATGGTTTATTAGATGATTCTAATAAACCATCTTGTTAGTCTTTGAAGTGCTACATAGACCTGTATTTTGCTTCAGCAACACCAGACTAACACGGCTACATTTCTATCTTGACTTCAGAAGGTTTTCATTTAGAGAGCAGAAAGAATTCTTAGGGCCTTAAACTCAAGTGATGGACTTAAGGGACATGCAAGCACAAATCATTTTCGTGCCCAAGTAGAAGAGCATGTGCACTGACCCTGGATGACCCAACGCTAGAGTTAGGGTGTAATCAGTTCTCCCTGCCAGTTCTTTCCTTGGTGTTTGTTGAGGCTGCCCCTGGGTTACGCGAATCCGACTTATGTCGGATCCGTACTTACGAACGGGGCTTTTCTCGCCCCGGAGGACACGGGCGGCGGGACCGCCCAGACGCGCCGCAGTCCCGCCACCCGCGTCCTCCGCGGCTTTGCTCCGTGTCTCCCTGGTCTGCTGGGGGGCCTCCCCCAGCCAAACACGGAGACGCGGAGCAGCTTCTCGCCACGGAGGATGCGGGCGGCGGGACCGACGTCGCG